ATCACAGGAAAGTGGGAGTGTCCTTGGCACCACTGTGATGTTTGTGGCAAACCTTCTGTTTCTTTCTGCCACTTCTGCCCAAATTCTTTCTGCAAGGAACATCAAGATGGGACAGTACTAAATTCTATGTTGAATGGACAGTTATGCTGCTCTGAACATGTTCTTGGGGTGGATTCTGTTGAAACTCAGAAGACTGAGAAACCCCGCAAAAAACTGAACAAGTTGAAGCCTAAGAGAAAGCAGAGGAACAACAGATGGATGAGAGCTGAATGCAAATAGTCATGGACTGCAGTTTCTACTGCCAACACTATCTTGTAGATAAGTTGTGAATATGACCAGGGAAGGACACAATTTTACATATATTCTGTAAAGGTTACTGGGGGGGGGGGAATTTTTGTTTTGTTTTGTTTTTATAAATCCACTGAGCCAACCACAGCAGTCTTCTGCTGCTTCTGCACTGATAACGAACTGCATAGTTCAGAAAATTTCAGGACAAACCAAACTTATTACTCAGCATTACAGTTACACTTGAATTGTTACGAATGTAAAAGGTTCCCTCCAAAATACTTTCAGATTGGAGGTAGGTTAAAATCAAACCAGGTAGGCGTAAACATAGGTTTTTGAGATAGTATTTGTCAACCAACAGATGTTTAAAATAGTATATCCTTGAAAGAAGTTATTAGCTCTCAAGTCCTTTTAAGTAAGAAATGGCTTGGTCTGTGGTCCCAATGAGATTTGCTTGCCTTGTGTGTTTTTGAGCAAGTGCTTGAATGCCATTCATGATCCAGGTGCGTATCTCACTACAACCACACACATCATTTGTTTGTGCTCTTATAAAGTAGCTCTCCAGTGATTCTTAAACAAAAGTGTTTTTAAATATCCTTCCACCAAGAAATATAGTGTGTGGTGGGAAAGGCATACCCTGTACCAGTGAGGTGAAATCTTACACTGTAAGAGATTTTTTTCTATACTGTTTTTTCCTGTATTTTATTCAAGTGAATTAGAAGTGACTTGATCTTGCAGAGCTGTACAAGTCTGGATTTAAAGGGATATTGTCTTGCAATCTAGGCCCAATACTCTAGGATTTTTATGTCTTAATAAAAATAAATCTTACAAAACCTATTATGTGAAAAAATTACTCAATTTTTCTTTTTTAATGTCAAGTAAAACTCAGAGGCAAATATTTCTTCAGAATGCTTGGAGTTCAAGCATTACAACTTTGTGATAATGCAAAAAATGCCCAACCAGGAACAAAAAAAAAACCCTGAATTAAACTTAAGGTGAAACTTGACTAAAGTGCTAAAATTAAATTCAAAACAAATAATAAGTTAAAAAAGGTATAGATTTTTGAAGAAGCACCTAAGGAACAATTTTAATATGAAATTTAGCCTGACTGTTCCTTTTGATAAAGTTTTTATAAAACTGGCTACTTGACTTGGCAGACTGAAATTATTCTTTGCATTTTTAGGAGCTCTGCTCTTGACTATCTTATCACCACTTTGTTGTGTCAGCAAAGCTGTTTTGAATTCTTTGCTCCCATTAGGTTCTCACACTTGGAGTGAGATAAATATACAAGATTTAGTATTGATGGAAATTAATATTAGAACTAGGAAAAAACGGTAAAGAAAAATGTCTTTACCTGTTTTCTTCCCAGTGCATGTCATTGGTGTGTGATTAGGCAGTGTTACAAGTAAGTTTTGACTTGTGCCAGTTACCTAGCCTATGTAAACACAATGTGCACCTCCATGTCCATTTAGTAATTTGTGTACATTCTAGCTTAGTTTGCCTTTAATAGTGCAGAAACTCTGTGTAGCCCTTTTGAAAATGAAGCCTTGCTATTTCATGAAAGTGTATGTTTTTTTCCCCAAAGTATTTCTCGAGGATTTGATTACAGATTTAGTTTTTGGAGTTATCAAAATCCTCATTTGTTCCCAACACATCAAAACTTTGGTTTTATTAGAAGATACTAATTGAAAGAGGTTTAAAATGTAGCATTGTCCTATCCTGAACTCTTTCATTTCTGTTTTGTGACCAAACTGTTTTGTTCTTTTAATCAATTTTTATAAACACTCTTGTAAGATGAATTTTTTTCAAATAATTTTTAAAAAGTAGCACAGTTCAAAACACAGGGAAGTGTTACATGTTTGCATTTTTTAAAGTGGTACGCCAAGCCTTGCACTCAAGCTAAAAATCAAGATTTTTTTCTTAATTGACTTTGAGGGAAACTTTCCCTCTGCTATAGATATTTGTTATACCAGGACTGAAGCATAGGCCTGTGCCTAAAAGCAAAACCAAAAAATGGTATTATGTATGTTTCTCTAATATTGGTTTTCAAGGAAAGTGAGATCAGATAGCAAAGCAGAAAGATTTTCCTCACTGCTTTTAGACAAAATGAAGGAATTTGATGTCATTGGGACCATTCTTTGAATACTATACCATGTAAGGAAGGCTTTATAAGAATACCTTTAAATAAGTTATTATAAAATTTTACCTTTACATTCCATTGCTTTTATAATTTGTTATTTTTTTAGTTGTTTCGTTGCTTTTTCCTCTTCATATATAGGTGTAACAGCTCTGGCACCATGGAATGGTTATGCCCCAGGTCCTAAGAGGCAGATACCTACTTCCAGAAGCCACCATCTCAAATAGTTACTGTTTGGCACTGCTGCAGTAACACCATCTGTTTTAAGATTGGTCACAGAGCCTACAACTCCCTGCCTGCCTCTCAGGTGGGCTCACAAGCACATTTAGTATGGCAGGATGCAGGACAGCCACCCATTTTGTATCTGTCTGTGGGTAAATAAAGACTTTGGCATTCAAAGCAATCCCTCTCAGCGCTCTTTTCGTAACGTTAAATTTACGCAAACAGATCTTAGCAAGTGGCTGTTTGACTTTCTGCTTCCTTCTACCTCTTCTCGGCTCTTTACTAGTCAACTCTTTGAGCCAGCGAAGGCTTGCGTCACTGAGACTGCAAACTAGGAGTTTGCTTTTGAGTTGCTAGGAATTCATTCCTTCTGCTGATCACATACTTTGGAGATTGATCTTTAAAATAAATGTGGATCGTGTTCTCCCTTAATATGTACTGACCATGTAACCCCATGAGCTCAGCTAAGTCACTCAGGTGGTGATCTGGTAGAATTTTAGTTTCTGAATCAGGAAAGGTGGTTTTTAGGTGTCTTTTAATGAAGGCTTCTGTACCTTACTCTGCAGCACTGGGAAAATAGACTGAAGTTTTGTTAAAAAAATAAGACAAAAGAAAAGTTGTTTCACTATTTTCCTCCTCCCACTGTTCAAATACAAGGAAAAACAATCTTGAAAAATTAAGCTTTCTCATGATGCAACTCAATACATTTTAGCATTCAGCAACTTAAAATATTTTTTATTATAAATTAATCTAAATAACATCTAAGTATGGTATATTACATGGCATTAAATTATGTACTTAGTGTCTTGCCCATCAAAGTAGAAAGATGTCTTTCCTTTTCCAGCAAACTCTTCAAAGCTGGTACATGATAGCCAAATTCAGAATTTGTTGTTCTTTTATCACATGAGCAAGCATGGAAACAATTTTCAGTTGAATATGTTAGATGTATTTTCATACAGTCTAGGAAGAATAATCAAATTAAATGTCTGTTTTGTTCAATAGTTTGTGTTCATGGTCAGTTTTTAGGGTTTTTATTTTAATTACTTGGAAAAACAAAATATCTTGAAAGACGTATTAATGGGATTTTTTCCACATTGTTGAGTCACATTATTCCATGTCTGACTGCTTGAGAAACTTCAGTGTCTTATTAAATATTAAAATCTATTCCTAGTTATTTAAGAAGTTGCTAATTCTTTTTTTTTTTTTTTTCATAAAACAGCTCTGTATAGAAGAAAAAAAATGTTTTAGAAGAAAAATTGTTTGTTCTTTAAAGAAAAAAAAGTGAGATGATACATACTAAGCAAGCATGGTTTTCACAGTGAGGGAAGTGAATGTTCTTTCATAGTGAAACCTTCCACTCCAAGACTTTCTAAGAGACTCCATGGTAATAATGTTTTAAGTTTATATAGAGGTGATAATGATTGTGTTTTGGCTTGTTTTCACAGTGTTGCTTATCACAAAAATATTGACCTTTTTTTCAGCGCACATTTTCCTGTTACAGTGCTGGTTTCTGTTGGTTATAATTTTACAGACCTTAATGACCTTGAGCTGGAGTCATGCAGTCCTACCAGTTCTGTTCCCTTGAGTTTGTTTAGCTGTCACTGGTGCTTTTCCTGCTTGGTCAGGTCTGAAGTTGACTGTGATTTGCTTTTCCAGCTGGGTTTTTCTTTGGGTCTGATTTGACTTCATGGGTGGAATCTCCCATGTCTGACAGCAGCTAATTTTTTTTTTTTTTTTTTTAAGAGCGTTTCAGAAAATTGCTTTAATAGTAATGAATTACTGTTCTACTGAGACCCTCTGGTGCTGTGCATCAGGATTGTGTCCTTTTGCTGCTCCTGTGAAAAGCCAGGTTTTTGCCTGTTGAAAAACTTAATGTCTGCTAAATCAACAGCATGAGGGACACTGTTGGGGGGGATGGGGGGAGCTCTGCCCATGCTGTGCAGTGGAGTTTGAGGAATGGTACTATCCCCATGTTGCTGCTGATCCCTGTTAAAATCACAGAATGGTTTGGGTTGGAAGGGACCCTAAAGATCATCCAGTTCCAGACCCCTGCCATGGGCAGGGACACCTTCCACTAGCCCAGGTTGCTCAAAGCCCCGTCCAACCTGGCCTTGAGCACTGCCAGGGAGGGGGCAGCCACAGCTGCTCTGAGCAACTTGACTGACCACAAATGATGATGTACCTCTTTTCCCATCCATTTTTTCATCTGAGATAGTTGAGAGAGATCAGAGAACTGTGTTGGGGTTTTTTTGGGGTTTTGGGGTTTTTTTTTGTTAAACATTAACACCTCCCCTGGGGAGAAAAGAATGAGCATCTGAGGGCAGTAACCACTTAACCCCCCACCAGCTGGGTTCCTTCAGCTGAGTCTGCTGCTGTGCTAGCCCAGTGAAGAGATGAATGTGAAAAGTAACACCTGCTTCCACCTCAGTGCACATTCATTTAAAAGCACAGATCTTTTAATAGTAGATAACTGGTTTTACTAGTGCTTGTAGAGCTGGTGAAGCACAGGTGCTGTGACAAAGGGTAACAGCTGGCTCATCTGTCTGGGGTTATGCAGCACACCTACTATGTGTATGAATTTTGCTTGTTAGGAGACTGGAGGCAACAAGGTGGGAAGGTTAAGAGAGCCCAGGCACTGATTTCATGGAGCAGTTGAAGCTGGGTCTATTACAGTCAGTGGGCATTTCTGAGTGCCTGCTATGCTGGTGAGACCTCAAATGGCCATAAGGAACAAGTGCAGAAAGCTAAACATCACCGAGAAAGAGCCTGATAGGGAAAATGTAGCAAACAACAATTTTAAAAAGATAAGAGTTAACCAGCCACACAAACAACTAGACAATTTGAAATCAGCCCTGTAAAACATGAATTGCATCAGTTTAACCAGATTGTTGAACTGGGCCAACTGCAGAGAAGAAAGCTTGGAGTGCCACAGCTCCATGCAGGGAGAACAGGTACAGATCACACATCCTGCTCTCATGGGTGGGGGACAAATCAAGTGTCAGGGATCAGGGCAAGAACTCTGCACAGGAATTCAAGCAATGGGTCTAGTACTGGCACATCCAGGCATGCAAAAATGGGCAAGCTGTCTTCTGTGGCTGCAGCATGCTGCGCTGTTTGGCTCCAAGGTTTCACTGGCACAGTTTCATGCCTTACCAGTGTGGTGTGGTAGAGAAAGAAACAATTCCTGTGAGGTATGGTGGAAGTTCTGAGTTGCTTTTGTAGCTCTAGTATGAAGGACATCATACAGCAGGAAACAAAAGGGACATACTTGTCCAGAAATCAACCACTGTTTTAGTTGCACCTGTTTTCCCACAGCTGAGAGGAAGGCTTTGGCCTCCCTTTCCTTTACTTGCTCTTGTTTAGACTAGTAGTAATTAGTAAAGTTTTGAGAATGGAAAAAAAAATTGCATATTCCTTGAAGCATATTCATGTTAGTTCCTGCTCAGGTGGAAGAGATTATTGTATCACAGGAACCTTAATAACTGGAGCAGTTGATTCCTACTCAGTTTGTTCAGCTAACTGGAGAGAGACAGACACACAATTGGTTTTTTGTTTTTTTCACTGAGGAAAGCAGAAAAGTATTTACTTCTGAATGAAGCTGGGACTTGCAGGGGTAGACTTTTCCCCTCAATCCATTTCAGTACAGTAGCACAGCTGGGTTGATCAGCACAAGCAGCCACAACTCAAAAATTGAGGTTTAATTTCTCTGCACTTATTTTAGCTCTACAGAAACAGGTTGCTCATAGTTAACCATTTCCCCCATATGCACCATCTGTCTTGCCGCATGGAAAAAAAGAGGTTGCTTGCTGATAGCGTGTCCTAGGCTACCAGCCAGCATAGACTGGTTCTGTGTGCTCAGTCCCCCCGTAAGTTGTGTGTCGTCCTGAGCCTTGGGGTAGCAACAGAGACTTTAACGATTTCTTGCTATATTGTTGCCTTCTTCTCAGAATTATTAGAAAGACAGCAAGGATTCCACCTGGAAGGTAAGGAATGGCAGTTATTTTCAGATGGAAACTATCAGGTGACATTTGCTCTAGGGCTTCTCAGGTATTCTCTTCTGGTAAATTGAGGGGTTTTTTTCTCCTACATTTGGCTAACTAAATACTCAACCATGGCATTTCAGATATACTCTGGGAGCTGCAGAGAATAACAGCAGGTTTTAATGAAGTAATTCAGTAACTTTCTTTCCTACTCTCATTTGCTCTCTGCTCTGTGGCTCTATTGTTTTCCACTTGACATCTTACCCCTTGCTTGATCCCACCAAAGGATCTTGTTGAGAAATGTTTGCTCTGTGCAACGCTTACACTAAAGCACAAGAAGGAACTGACCTAGTTAACTTTGAGTCTAGACTGAGATCAGGGCTGTCAGGAAAAATTACTTTTAGATTAGGCATAGACATGGAAATAATTGGCAAATATCAAGTACTGTGACATTCTGTTTGTTTGTTTCTGGCAGAAGCATAATCAGGGAAAATTGATCTTAACAGAAGAGCACAAATCTGTCACTGTGATGCAATATGGCCAGACAAATATGTCCAAATTTAGGTTGTGTGAGCAGACAGTCTCACGGTAAACAACTGATCTGTTAGACTGGCCGTGAAATACTCACAGGTTCCTGTGTGGGCTGTTTCCTTTATCCCTCTTCATAGCGAGCTCTGTGACAGGACTTCAGTGAGGAAAGCTGTTCGGTGACCCTCAGACTTGTTTATCAGAAAAGCTAGTTAATGGGCCGTTGTCTCTGTGTGGGCAGGCTTTTCATACACTTCAATTTAATCTACTTTTTCTAATTAATACTTCATATGGCATCTGTTTTGGCAGATTTTTGGACTACAGCCTGGCACAAGGGGATATGGGCCAGTGGAGGAGCTTTCACGCAGTTCCAAGCCACAGCTTGTGAGAACAACCCTTGTCAGCTCCCACCAGGACACTGCAGCCCTCTGGAGATGAGCAGTCAGTCAGCCAGTGCTGCTAGAGCTATAGCTTTCTCCAGACCCTGCTGCACCTTTATCCTCCCATGCATCCAGGCAGTCCTCTCCTCAGGTACCGAGAGAGGAGTTTGATGAGAACAACTAGTACTGCTTTGTCGTTGAAGAAGCAGATTTGCTCTCTGTTGTTCAGTGTGGTAATAACACTTCTATTTTATCTCCCCCCTGACTTTTAGCAACAATGAGCTTGAGTAGAGAATGGGTCTTCAGGAGACACATAACTGTTGTGCTTGGAACACAAAAACCCATGGATATGAGGCTGTAATTCTTTATCCACTGATGGCTTAGTCATCTCTATGACTTGAGATGAAAATCTTGTGTCAAGAGAGCAGGTAGCATTAGTGGCACTTACAGTGGGGTTTCTGTTCATCTGCCTGTGCACAGGAGACAAGGCTCTCTTTCCAGCTTGCTCATCTGCCCTTTTTTCAATCCATAGAAGTAACAGTTGCTCATCTGCATCATAACTGTTGTCTTTGATTAAACCTCCCCCAAAACTTGATAAAATCTATTTTCCCCTTCGCTAAGACTTCAACTACTACTACTATTCATTGTTTTGGAATGAGTATTCCTAGTGTAGCTTCAGGGTGAAAAAGCTCATCCACCTGTTGGCTTGCCCTAATGAGCTAGTTACAGCAGGTGGCAGGAGGGGTGCTTCACACACTCCGTGGGTGCTGGTTGTCTTTCATTCTGTTGGTTACAAGGCACACAACAGCACTGATACAACCACCACTGCAGCAGGTGACTGCACCAGCAAGAGTTACAGGGGCAGGGAATGCTTTTAGGAAACCAAGTCTCATACCAAAAGTAAATTGTCCTTTTTCCTACTTTTGGGGCAGCTGAGAAACTCCTGCTTTGGAGTCCATACACACCTGCTTCCCAAGGACAAACAACAGCAGCATTATGCTGGCCTTCCTTCAGAGCAAATACAGCAATATCCCTACTTACAAATGGGGAAAGGATTATCATTTGCATTGAAAGCAGCCAGAAAGACCTTTATTAGAAATCCAGGTTTCGAGAAACGTAAAACTACACCATCCAGAGAACACTTGGTATAACATGAAGGCACCCAGCTGCAGAGGAGTGTCTAATTTTACCAGAGACAGAGAAGACCAACACTTACATGCTGAGAAGATGGCCAGGAGAACGACCATCAGTGGGGTCAGCTGGCAGGAGTCCCCTGCCTTGTAAAGGAAGAGCTCCATGCAGTACGCCGGCTCAGCGCTGCCTGCGGGGCAGAAGGCGTCGGGAGGACACTTCACTGGGTTCACATCTGGGCTCTGCCCAAGAGAAAAAGTAACTCAGCACCAGCAAACAGGGAAAACTGCAGAACGTTAACTAATGTGAAGGGAGATGACACTTCAGCATTGGAAAAAAAAAAAAAACAAAAACAAAACCAAACACCAAGAAGTGAATGTGCTATCATTAAATGCCCCTGTGGTGGTACTCAGAGTAGGGTAAAGAGCTGACAGTGTCATTATACAGCATGTCCATACATCAACCCCCCTCGTTAATGGGCACTCTATCCTCTGAGGTTCCCCTGTGAGATTGGGCAGCGCCAAGGGTGGCACAAAGCCAGACTCCTGGTGTTGTAACTAACCATCTCCGTCAGAGCTCTACGTTTAAGATAAAAATGGCATGAATTGAAGTGTATTTAGCTTGTCACAGGACAGCTGTATTTGTTAATCCAGACTCTCAAACCAGCTGATGGGGACTCACAGGGCAGTAGTGATTTTCTGGGCACAGGTCACAGCTCTCCTTGCCCCACTGTAATTGGTATTCTCCTGTCCTGCAGAGCTTGCATTTGTTGTCGCTGGGACCTTTGAATGTACCTGAAATGCCAAATAAGCACAAAATTAAGATCTGGGACTAGACCCCGGGGCCTTTGCAATTACATATGGATGATTCAGCTTTCAAAGCCATAAGGAGAAAGACCATTAAATACTTCATGTGCATAACAAAAGCTGAGCCTGGACTTCCGCACTTGCTTGGTGGCAAAGGGCCAGGGCAGACAAAAACCACAGGACAGAGGAACTAAAGGATATCTGGGGTCAGATCTTGGCAAACAGTGAGTCAGAGTATGGTGGGAGATGGGTTTAGCAGTGAGCTTTGGCTTTAAAGCAAAGGAAGGTTGGACCTGGAGGTCAGCAGTGTTTCATCCTCTCTAATTCTGAATTCAAACACCTTTTCCAGCTGTTTGAAACTTGCTGTGCAAAGTTTAAAAGCATGTCTCAGTTTCTTAGGCTTTGTAGGAATGAGGGGTCACAGAAGTCCTGAATCTCAAAGTGCTAGACATTCTTCTGTGTGTTTAAAATGCAGCTTCACTACAAGAAATCCCTGGTGCTGTCTCCAGAGCAGAGGCTGGCCCTCGGTGGCTGCAGAGGCAGCTGGACCGTGCTGCCTGCTCACCCGCTGCGGTTTGATGTTATTTAAAGATGGTGATGCAAGGAGCAGAGTCATGGCCTCACTTTCCCTCATCGACTGCCTCGGGCTAATTCTTGCTGGGTGCAGAGCATCCCCCCACCCCACTAGCAAGTCTGTGGTTTCATCAGCAAAGCAACCACCACTGATGAAGATCCTTCTTTGCTAGAACCGTACGGCAGCCCTGGAGTGCAGGTGACCAGCCTTCCTCTGAGCCACTAGCCATGCTGGCAGAGAGGTGTGGCATAGGCACAGCCTCCAACAGCAAGTTCTAGGCAAACTAGGAAGAGCCAAAAACCCCCAGCACCTTCCCCTCCCTCTGAGGGCAATGGTTTGGTCAGCTGAGGCATTCGTGATGGCAGAGGCCGTGTCCTCTGGGTCAGATGAGGTGAGTCTGGGGAATGAATCGCTCCTGGTGCAGACGCCGTGTGTTCCCATCTGGGCTAGCACAGCCCCCCAACCCCCTGTGGCAGAAGTTACCTGGTGAGCAAGGCATGCAGTCCCGCGCCGCAGCCTGAAGAGCCTCTTGCCCACCAGGACAAGGCGGACACACCGTGCAGCTGGTGGTGCTGGGGAGGGGAGAGGAGGCAGACAGTGCTGTAGGACAAGCACTTCCAAGCCCACACCACCAAAGCCAGTTCTCTTATTTATGCCCAGACTGAAGTCTCCAGGGTCTATCAGGAACTAAGCTTTTGTCATTCTGTGGGTATTCACAATGTCTCTCTCCAGTGTGGTTTCTCACATGTCTTAATTACAGCTGTGCACATGATGGCACTTCTGTCCTCTCTTTCATCGCTTATTGACATGAAACTTGTAGGAAGTTGCTCTCCCAGAAGGTTGCTATTCCTTAGCAAACTTGTCTAGGACTGGTCAATGGGTACCAAAGGGCATTGGAGACGGACCTGAGATACAGCCAGGTAAGCCCTGGGTCCAGTCTTGTGGCAATTTAATCAAGGTTCAGCAGAGATCTGCTGCATAACACAGGACAAGCAAGCTCAAGGTGAGGTCAGAAGGAAGGTAAGTATTCATGTGCCAATTCACCTGCTTTGAATATAAACCCCCAACCTCCACGCAGGCATTCCTACACAGCAGGGTGCGGAGCCCACCGCAAGGTACCCCACCAGCACCTCTCCCCAGCCCTCTCCCCCACCCTGGAGGTAACAGCTCAGCAGGGTAGTTTAGTTACTGCCGTCTGCACATCTCGACTCAGGATAAACAAACCATCAGATCAGCTTAAATCTGCAAAATTCAGAGCGATGCTCAGCTCGATCCCTGTGCCACCATGTGTTTGTTTATCGGTGGTGTGCAATGCCCACGCAACGCAGCAGTGTTGGCAAGAGGGGATGGCAGAGGTGGGCCGCAAGCTGATGCTCTACCACCACATTCCAGGGTACTGCCACACCCAGCTGAGACCCTCCACTGTACCATCCCTCTCTCACCAGGGCTCAGCACCAGTGTCCCTACAGCTGAAGTGACAGGTGACCTCAGCCACTACACTGGGTCTTCAAGCCCAGTGGCTAAAAGAAAACCACCCCTCCCCCTGTCCACCTGACAGCCAGCGTCACAAGCAGACTTCTTACTTGCAAAATGATCCAGGCAGACAAGGCAGACAAAAAGCTGCATTTTCCTTGGAGCTAAAATAGCCTGAAAAAGGGAAGAGTAAGGCTTCAGGATCTTTCCTCACCCATCACTGCCCCAACATTGTTGTACCTTTGCTCATCTCCATTTTACAAGCAACCAAATCAACCCCCCACAACACACTTCAAGTGGCATTTCATGGGATAATTCAGGATGTTTGGTGTTCTGTCAAAAGCCCTGAAAGAGTGATGTTTCCTAATGACCTCTGCCATGCTGAAGGAAGCATGGGGGCTCAGGCAGATTTCCATGGTGTCACTCTGGCACCTGAAACCCCACCAGAGACACCCATCGACCTTCCCAGCGTGACAGGTTGAACTGCAATGAAGCTGAAATAGGTAATCCCAGTTATTTAGCTGGAGCAGGTCTTTGGCCATGGGAAACCCTTCCGGTCACCCCAGCCCCTCCATGGGTTCCCCCACCCTGGGAAATCTGGGGGTACATCTCCTTCCCCCCTGAAGGGAAGGACAGCAGACTCACTGACCAGGATGGCACCGCTCAGCACAGCAATCTGCTGTTCGCTCTCCCTCCCTGCACCACCAGAACCACCAAGGGCAGGAGGACATGTCCTGCACTTGGGCCACAACCACTCCCTGCATCGCTACAGGCTCTGGGAGGTGTGGAAGAGAAGGATCTGGGGGTTCTAATTGACAAACAGCTGAATAGGAGCTAGCAGTGTGCCCAGGTGGCCAAGAAAGCCAACAGCATCCTGGCTTGTATTAGAAATAGTGTGGCCAGCAGAAGTAGGAGGTGACAGTCCCCCTGTGCTCTGCTCTGGTGAGGCCACACCTGGAGTGTTGTGTCCAGTTTTGGGCACTTCAATACAAGAGAGATATCGAGGTGCTGGAGTGAGTTCAGAGGAGGGCAACAAAGCTGGTGAAGGGCCCGGAGAACAGATCCTGTGAGGAGAGATTGAAGGAGCTGGGACTGCTCAGTGTGAGGAGGAGAAAGCTGAGGAAAGACCTCATCCCTCTCTGCAGCTCCTGAAAGGACGTTGTAGAGAGGTTGGTGCTGGGCTCTTCTCACAGGTGATTAGTGACAGAACAGGAGGGAATGGCTTTAAACTCCAACAGGGGAGGTTTAGACTGGACATTAGGAAAAAATTTCTCACAGGAAGAGTGGTCAGAGAGTGGAATAGGCTGCCCAGGGAGGGGGTGGAGTCACCATCCCTGGATGTGGCTAAGGGACATTTAGATGAGATGTTGGGGGATGTGGTGTACGGGAGAACTTTGTATAGTAGGGCTGATGGTTGGACTCGATAATCCCAAGGGTCTTTTCCAGCCTGAATAATTCTGTGATTCTGATTCTGTGCAGACCCTTCCCCAGAGCACAAGGAGTGAAATGCCCTTAAACACCCATGGCCTGGGCACATCTGTGAGCCCCTGCCACACGGACAGGAACCTCTAAAGGCAGGAGAGCAACACTTGGGAGTTCGGGTGGTTTTGGGGAGATGCCTGTTGATGCACAACACTGGTCACTGCCATGGGTCCACAGGGAACAGAATTAAGGTGCCTGTGTTCAGAGAGGAACACAGATCTGCCTTACACCCTTCAAACCTGCCCAGGTTTGCAACAAGCAGCAGAGGCTGCGGCAGAACACGCTGAAAACAACCTCCCTCTCCATGCACGAAAAAAGGAACTTTTAAAATTTATAATTGCATGATTTATGGAGCACCCCCACAGACTCCTCTGTGGTCTAACACAGCATTCAAATTCCCTGCATAAAGGGCGTGACGTACTGCAGCACTGTCACCAGTCAGACTTTTTTCCTCCCAAATTTAGCAAGTGATAGCCAAGGTTTAGGTACCAGCCAAACAGTTTGGTGGGCAGATTTTCAAAAGAACAGTTGTGCATGTATGAGGAGCACTTAATTTGTGTACAGAATAGCTGCTGCATTGCATGTGTTGATTAGGCTTTTACATAAGTAAATGCTAGTCTGTTTTGAACATGTTGTTACACTGTGAACACATTGTACCAGGCTCAGATTGCAGGTACAGAGTAGGTCACTGAAAACCCTGTTTTTAATGTCTGGGGAATAAGGAGAGTATTACACTTAATATTCAGACTGCAGAAGATTGCCTAACTGAAAACAAAGCCAGTTTAGACTAATTTTTGCCATTAAAAATAGGGGAATACTTTGTTTTCCTGTCACCCTCCTCCCCCTTGTGCTATAACCGAATTTCATAATCTTCTTTCCTGACTTTCTGGAAAAGGCTTTCATTGCAGTGTTAGTATTAGCTTGTTGCAAACAAAAGCATGACTCTTGAGATCTGTTCTTTTCATTTTAATAAAGATGTCAATAACAGAATGGGAAGAGAACTGCTATTCTATTTTTAGCCTGAACAAAATAACCTATTTTCTCTTCAGTGCTTTTAAGTTACCTGGTAATTGCATCTGGCCACGGGAAAAAGCATTGCATAGCCTGATGAAAATGCATTTGGGTTGAATACAAATCCAAGCGTACCTTTCTCACATGCTCTGCAGGCTGTAGCTCCGGACTCATTAGCGTAATGGCCAGGCGGGCAGGGAAGGCATGTGGTGCTCCTTGTGAAGCTAGGAGAGAAGGGAGCAGAGGTGAGTGCTATTTTAGTCACCCGAGCCTCTACCCACTTTTAAGAGGAGAGAGCAGAGCACAACTCTTTGTTTCACTAACAAGTCTAGAAATAGGGTAATTATAATGAAGGCGTTCAGGCAGAAAAACAACAACTTGAACTCGCCTGAATGTTAAAGGTTTGGTGAAAACAGAGTTTTCTGTAGTATTACAGAATTTCTGTATTATTAGAGAAGTCTGGTGGGCTTGGCAGTGTTAGGTTTATGGTTGGACTCCATGATCTTAAAGGTCTTTTCCAACCTAAATTATTATGCGATTAACCCTAAAGACATCCTCTGCCTGTGGACTATATGGAAAATGATGGAGTCTGAAATCTGGGTCTTGAAAAATGTGTTGTAGCCAGGCTTAAAAACCTTGGTTTAAAGTCAGGCTCTTAAATCCACGCTTGGTAATTGAATCGAATTGGAAAGATACTTGATGTTCAGCATCCATCAGCAATTTTAAAAGAAGCTGCTCCATTGTTGAAAGTCAGGTCACTTAGGAGTTGAAAAAAAAGAGCTAAACCATAGGCAGTGATGTGTGAGAGTCCTGACCTTAAATAACAGGGACTGTGGGAAAGGGGATGTAATATGTTAGACCTCCGGGAGGAGGGGGAGGAAAAGAGGGAAAGGCAGAGAAAGAAAAGCTATTGCATTCATCGCTGACAGAGCCAAATCCCCAACAACAAGCATGTGGGCATAAGAATTTGTTAACATACTCGGGAATGCTTTGGAGTAAAACAAGGACACTAATTCCTTCAGAAACCCCAGGGCTGAGCAAGATTTGTGGAAAAAAATAAAAATCAATTGGAAAAGTAGCAAATGCGTTGCTTAAAACAAAGCAATACAGGGCCTGTGCCAGCCAGAGCTGCTCAAAGTTTAGGGGATGTTGGATTCTCCAAATACCACAAAAATGTTAAACAATCCCATCGGAGCCCTGAGGCCTGGGCAGCTGCCATGGAAATGGCCATGTGCCCACTGGGTGCCCTCCCCTCCGCATCCCCTCACCCCCCCTTCTGCTGGTCCCCCCTCCAGCGGGCGTAAGCTGTTTGCTGACCCTTTCTGGTTCCCGGCTCTGCGTTGCCTTCTCCCACATCCCAACAGCAGCATTTGTGTGGTTCCCCGGGGACTGCTCCTGATTTTTTTTTTTTTAAAAGCACTTGGGGGGTAAATATATTAAGGCAGGACCTCACAGCACAAACAGCAAAGGGGGAGGATGAAGGAGGAAGCTGGCAGCCCCTCAAACCCAGGGGGTGCTGCAAACACACCGCAGGGTCAGGTCACCCTTCCTGCAGCCAGGTTTTGTTTGCTCTCCCCAGGGCTGATCTGAATGGCCATTCCGAGAGGGATACAGTCCTGGGAAGCACTCACTGCCCCTCCTGTCTCTGCAGCCACCCAAGGGACAAAGTCCACCGTTTTCTTGAAACGGACATTGGATACAGAAAGGGAAAACCCGATAGGAAGTGGTGAGAGCAGCAAAGTGTGTGTCCCCGCACTCGGAGGACACTTGCACGGCAGCCCCTGGACAAGGCAGCGTGCTGGAATTGCAAGGCTGGGCTCTGGCGGGGATGTCTTCTTAGCTTTTCCACACTGTATCAGCTAAACACATTGCTTTAGATGCCAGTGACTTAAAAGTAATGAGATCCCTTGGAGCAACAAAGTAAGGATTGAGAAAGTAATTGAGCAAAGCACAGAGATGAAGCCAGTTGGCCAGAGGTATCCCAGAGAAAAACTGAGGAGATGAACCCACACATCACTCCCAAGTGTCTCCCCATCATAAAAAATCCCACCCAAACACCTTCCCTCCTAATACATACAAAATGAAAATGCTGGGGGGGGGAGGGCAACCTGTAGAGAGTTGGAGCTGCCCCTGGGAAGCCCTTGGCACAAGGATATCCACACCAGGGTTTCCTGATGAGGAGAATTCAGCAGTACTGAAGAGACACACACCTTCCCACCTCCACCTGCCCCATAGGGAGCAAATTTGAAGCACAGACCAAAAGCAGACTGGGGCTTTCTCCAGAGGTTGGACAGTCTGTAGGTTAGTTTAACAGACACATAACTAATTCAGCTTTGCAGTGAATGAGATCCCTGACCCAGTTTGCCACAAAGTCCTGCAAGAAGCTAAGGAGCACACAGCCTCTCGCTGCTGCCACCAAGTGCTTTGCACCATGGGCGGGTGCTGGGGCAGTAAGCCCTGAGCTGATCTTTCTCTCAAGGGTGCAAAACCCTGTGCTTCCCCCTGAGAAACAACCCTGGCAGCACTTTTCCTACAGACCAGAGGAGGAGATTTTGCCATGTGGGAAGTGTTTTGAGAAAGCGCATCCACCACCCCATGTCCAGGAGCTCAGTCACTTACTTGGTGTAATGGCCCTGTGGACAAGGCAGGCACAACAGTTGCCCACTTTCAGGCTGGTAGTGGCCCAGCGGGCAGGAGGTACAGGCACTGGGGTCTATGCATGAGCCCCCCCCGCAGCACGAGCAGCTCAAGGTGCCTAAATTGGAACAAAAAAGTCAGGATCAGGATTGCGAGACTTGACTTAAATCCCTGTGCTCGTCAGGACAGGTCACTGCCAGGAATGCCAAAGTGCTGGGCTGCAAACCCTTCAGCAAGAGAGTCCTACAGGGTAGAAATTATTAATATTAATGCTAATTATGATGCTGTGCATCATTAGCAAGCTGAAGAACAGCCATAAAAAGATCTAAGGTCTCAAGTCTGTCAATGTGGATTTGTGGTAATTACAATGACTACTTTTTTCTCTTTTGAGGGGCCAGGAGGATTTTCCTTGTTTTCTCTCCAACACACAAACAAAAAAAGAAATAAACCCCAACACAGACCTTTGGATTACTGATATTTTAGGCTTACAGGAAGCAGAACTGAAGAGCAGAGGATCTGCCTTAAGCAGCAGCAACAGCTTTTCTTTGAGCACAGGTACCACGGCATTCCCACCAGACACAAGCTTTTAGCCCACTCTGCTCCACAAAACAAATCCGAGCTACACAGAGTGATGACGTGGGATTTGCTGTAACTGCACACATCAGACCTGCCATCCCACTCTGCAGGATCCAGTCCTTGGTGCTGCAGCGGCCAGGATGGGTAGGAGGAAAAGACCCTGTGGATGAACATCCTGTGCAGGGGGGAGGTGGGAATTACCTCCTGTCCTCTGAAGATCTACCCTAAAGATCAGAGCTGCTTTCTCCTCTTTTAAAAAGTGCCCTGCAGTGAGGGAAGTAAGCAAAAAGTACATGGCTCCTATTTTAGGGATTTTTTTTTGGGGGTGGGGGTGTTTTGTTTTTTTTTTAAAAAAAAAAGACACTGAAAAAACCCCCCATGTTACAACATAAATAACTTCTGGAAAAAGCAATATTATGCACTCCTGACCACAACAGAGGTTGATGGGGTAGTTTCTCGAGCCCAAGTGAAATATATTTGGCACTGTTCATTACAATGATGCCCTTTAGCGAATAAACCAGGTTGCACTTGTGTTACACTTTGTGCCACAACACAACTGCTTCTTCATCCTACTGTGAGACCAATACACAGCACAAGGCCAGCAAAGGCCAAGTTCAGAAAGGTGCAATGAATTAACTCCCACTCCTGCTGCCTGTCCAAGCCTCCAACACAAGAACACGTGCTGGTTTCACCTCCCTTGGCCAGTCACTTTTTCACCTAACGCAAGAGCCAGGGTGAGCAGAGACTCTTACCTTCGTTGGGAAACGTCCCTGGGGAGCAGCGGGCACAGGCTGTCACGTTCACACCGCTGCAGTTTGCGGGTTTGGCAGTGGTGAGGAACGGAGCTGCTGACAGGACTCCAGGAGATGTTGTCACACCTGGAGGGGACACTGGGGTGCTGGTGGATGCGGCCATCAGTCCTGTAGATGCTTGAGAAGTGGTGGTGCTGCCAGAGGTGAGGATGGTCACACCCGTGGTGGCGAGCAGAGTCTGAGCAGGCTTTTTTGTGCTTGGATCAGCAGATGGCACTGCTGTGGACACAACAAGGTTTGCAGAGGCTGACACCACGCCAGCTGACAACACTGCAGTGGCAGTTGGGGGAGCAGAGGCCATGGTAGCGGCTGCACTGGGAGGTACTGGGCTTGATGCAATGGGGACCTGGGTGGTGGTTTCACTGGCGGGTGCTGGGGTTGATGCAGTAGGGACCTGGGTGGTGGTGGTCTGGCCTAAAGCAATACCTAAGAGAGGGAAAAACATCATTAGTGGCCAAATTACTGTTCTTTCTTCAATGGAGGTTTCACGTTAGATCTTTGTCAACTGCTTAACCCGTGTGTCCTTGTTTGATGTCCAGAAACTCCCTTCTGCTATGTTCCATTACAGAAAAATACAGAATCAAGGAAGCAAACACTGGCAGCATCTGAGCATCCCTGGCACATGGCAGGCTTGTCAAGCAAATAAATTAGCAGGTCCACGAGGCCACAACTCAGTAGATGCCAATGTCCAGGAGGTCTGACTCTCCTAGATAAAAGGTTGTGAGAATTGCCTGAAACACTCAATTTTGTCAGTGACAGCTCCTTAAGACAGTTTACCCCAAGATCTCATGACAATATAATTTAAGATGCTTGTCAAGTAGGTGGCTGTTTTATCCCATCTCCGTTAAAGGAATCAGCAAAGAAAAGTCATGGGTTTAGGATTTTGTTTTAAGCTGTTCTGGAGATATATCCAATAATCAGAAGGGAACCCGCAGGCCAAGACTCGCTTGGATTCTGAAATCCCCTGTCAGAGCAGGGACAGCTGTAATCTTCAGAGAAAAAGGGTATTACTGCAGTTCCAGTTGTTTTGCCATAATACATACTGGACTGAAATATTGTCTGCTGATGAAATCCATCTCTCAGCACACAAGCAGGGGAGAGTTCTTCCACTCTCTGAACACAGGAGAGACCTATAAAACTAAACATGGAAAGTAGCAAGTTGTTTTTAATTTAGCAGTGTGGTACTAAGCAAAGGAAGCAAAGCAAAACCGAAGTAGCCAGCTTCTGCTACAGCTGCTGTCACATCAGCTTGAGTCAGAAATGCAGGGAAGGGATTTACTCTAAGATAACTGCAGCTTCTGAAAACATCCAACTTCATACAGCAAGAGAATACAACTGTGGCTGGTAACATGGCATTTACATGCTCTCCCAACCAGCACACATCTGCTAAGCCACCATAGCAAGAGAGCCTGCTGAAATCAAGTGGCCATTGGCATGGAAAGTAAAAGGACTATTTTAAAAAAGTGCTTTATGGGTTTTAAGGAGCCCAAAAAGCACAGCTGACACCCAAGAGTGGGATGTGGATGAGGAAGGACAGGGAACAGGATGAAAAGCTGGGGACACAGAGGGGCAGCACCATCAAGTGGCTGCAGAGCCACTGATCCCTGCAGGCTTTTCCCAAGCCCACTTCTCCCCCAGCCTTTGACTCCTCTCCCAATTTTGGCTACACCGTGAGAAGCTGGGCACCATGGGTACCAGTGGTATGAACAACAACAATGTGCGACCAAGCTGACTAGTAACTCTAGTTAAATTTCTACAACAAGATCAGGACACCGAATAAAAGAGTCCTTACAAAGTTGCGATCACATGGAGAGAGCTCGTTGGGAGTGCTCCCTCCTGTTGCATACTGCCTGCTTTGTACTCTACTGAGAGTGAAAAACACATCATTCTGTGACTATTGAGCAAAGCAGCAGATGAGCACCCAGCTGTCTGGGCCACTGCCCACATTTTCTTGCTGTGGCCCCCAAAACAGAGACGCTGAATTTAACAGCGATTATTTTGTGGCGTTTGTTTTTCCCAAGCCCAAATCCAAGTGACCTAGAGACGCCAGCACCAGCCCTAGGCAGGGAGAGCAGCTCTGCAGCACCCACAGAGGACACTGGTGCCTCAGCTGTGCCTCCACCCAGCACGGAGATGCCCAGTTTCCCTCATCTGCCTCACTTGCCTGAAGGGCTGAAGTCAGTCTACTCTTTCCTTGTGTCTGGTAATGAGCCGAGTCAGTCCCGGGTTTTATTAAACTAATCTCAAAATAAACACTAGCAGTAAGTCAAGAGCACCTTCAAGTTCTCCTGGGAAAAGCTCTCAGAAGGACCACTGGGATCAGTCTGATCTCCCACACAGCAGCCTCACCCCCACATTTGCTCAGCTCTGCCAGCCAGAGACACCACAGTGGATTTAGTCACCTTGGACTAATTTTTGTTGTTTTGTTGTTTTTTTTAGTTGAATATTGCCTTTTCCTAAGCTTTCCTTGGTTGGCTGGTTCTGGTGTTAAGTGGTGGTACTGTTAAGATGGAGGGGTTTTTTTTTTTTAAAAAAAAAATGAAAATACCTTTTCATAACATTTTGTTAAAATAGCCATTAAAGAGTTGCTTGCAAAACTCAAGTAGCCATCAGTAGCTTTCTGCTGCCAGTGCTTTATAAATTGATTTAAACAACTTCTAGAGAAAAAAGTGAAGCTGGAAAGACCAGTTTTGAGCAACTAATAAAAATAGGTGCTATTTTCTTTACCAGTTACAGTATCACAGGTGTGAAAAAACAATATTCAGACAACCTTAGCTGCATCAGAGCATTTTCTCTCCTGCACTTATACTATCTACACCAGGAGGTAGTGACTTTGCTTTCTAGACACTTTTTGGTTTTTTAGGGGCACTATGAGGCAATAAAAGTATCTCCAGTGACACTTCAAGGATAGGTCATTTTGTGTGACACCTTGGCACGATGTTTCTCTCCAATAGCCTTGAGGATGTCAGGGAAGGTTCCCAAACTCTTAACTACAAAGCTAACCCTTCCTGATTAGAAGGCGGGCAGCCCTGCAGACTTGCGAGGCACATGGACTCACAAAATGCAGAAATAGGGTGGACACTCCTTTATTTTTTTTTCTTCTGTCTTGCACAACTGCACAGACTGCCATTCTGGAAAAACTAATCACTCAAGCCAAATAAAATACAATAAAATCAACATCATCTCTGGTGAATTCAACAGGTGAATAATTGGCTTCTGAAACTGAGATTTCCCCAAAGTGTTTAATTTCATGAGTGCCAGACTACAGGTAGTACCTTGCTCAGTGCCCAGGCTGCTCTGGATGCACATAGTTAAGATTAGGCTCAGCAGGTAATTGCTCTGAGCAGTTTTGCCCCTTGTCAAGGAACTCTGTAAAGTACAAATTGTTCTAGCAGAGCTGATGGGTTCATACTCCAAAAAGGGAGATGACCGCAGGGCCTCCCGCAGCCTCTGACCCCCCAAATGCAGGTGGTCTGCAGTGAGAAGGGAGCAGGGCAGCACCTCACCTCGAGGAGCTTCCAGTTGCATGGGGCCAGACTTGCCCTAGAAGGTCCATAATCTGAAGTGCAACAAGTTTTGCAAATCCTACATAGCAAAAATATTAGCTATAAGATCATAGATTTTTTTTGTTGTTGTTGATAGGTAAACAGTACAAAGGGCTGAAAAGAACAAGGAGAGGAGTGGAGTCATGATTACAAAAATATTCAGGCATTTTTATGTGCTCTCTATCTTATGAAGACCCACTTACCAAAGCACCCCAAGGCAGTGCACATACTGGGGCATCCTGTTCCTTGGAGTTTAATATAAAGCCATGAAGAGGCCACTGCAAATCCTCAATATACAAAGTAATAGGGCTCTGTTTTTCCTCTTTTTCTCTCTCTTTATAAAAGCAAGTTTTTATATTTACCATATTCAGCCCACTTCCAACACTGCCTATCTTTCAACACTTATTTCCTTTCCTGCCTTCCCTCTCCTCTTGCCCTGCCCTTCTGCAGCACCCCGAGATGCTGAAGCACAGTGCTTTCAAAAGCCCATTATGGCTTTACCCACCTTTGTACTCAGCCAGCAAAAAGAAATGCTGCTTCAGGAGGACTTACCTGTTAAACACGCCGTGGTTAAGCTCCAAATCAGAGGAGAAGGCCAGGCACTCATTTTTCCCTGAGGAGTAGCACAGCTTGTCAAAAGGCAAGTCAGCAGCTAATCTCCTACACCCAACTGTTTATTCTCCGGTTTTGTGCCCAAAATTGTCACCTGACTCTGATCATGCGGCTCAGTCAAGTCAACCTCCCCCCAACAAAGGGGGTTTTATATTTGGAGACTGCAACAGGTCTTAAGACATTACTGGCCTTCTCAAAGTGTAGAGCAAACTAAATACTGAGCATAGGAACAAATCTAAGCCTCTCCTTGTAGTGTGCAGAAGTACATGCAAGAGAAGCGTCCTGGAGGAAGTGATGGGCTCAGACAGGAACAGGCAGAGCCACGCAGGAGCCCTGTGCCTGGCTGCTGGCCAGCCCCCCGTGACCTCGTCAAGTGAAAGGATTTCATTTTTTCGACACCCAGGATTTCCTGCAAGAAGAAAAACAAGAAGAAAAATAACCCCAGAAGCGTCCATAGTTCAAAGCAGCTCCCATTTTAACTGAGACAAGTCATGCCATAACCAAAACTCACCCTCTGGTGAGTGTAGAACTTTCCCAATCAGTGTTTAATTCCCTCCTTGCTGCCCCCAAGGTGTCAAACTTGATGCATCAAGTTGTTGTGGTTAGTATCAAATTCAATGACCTTGATGATGATGATTCTGAAGGGAGGGCATTAAGTGTAGTGAGGCCCCATCCCGTTTTCCACGTACTAGTGACTATCCTGTTTGCTCTTCACACCCTGAGGCTGGGTCCTCCTGCCTGTGCTGCCCAAGGACACAAATGTCCCCGTGGTTTCCTCACCTTGCAGCCCTGCTTTGAAACATTCCCCCCCCCACATTGCCCCATCTGTTAGCAATCAGCACTGCTGAGCCTCCACAGCAATAGAGGATTCCCTTCTGCATACAGCTGAGTGCCCCATCTCACACACATCACATCTCCCCCCAAATTCAGGGAGCACCTGGCTGCTCACATGGGATTGAAGATGCTCAGCGCGCAGAGCCCCCCAGAGCCACATGCTCGGTGAGCAGATCGGGACCTGTCACATGCTTCCCCTGTCTTTTATGCTCCAAGATCCTCCACAGGGCTCGATGGTGAGCCAACAGTTCGTGTGCTCCAACCCAAGCCCCCAGGCTTTCCTCCTCGTGGCCCAGGTGGGGTCAGTTTGGCATCACATATGATGCCCTGACAGCACCATGCTGCACCTGTGGTTGCTCCCCTGCTCTCTGTAGTTTCCCCCCACATTGCACAACTGTTGCATGGGCCAGGAGCTTGCATGAGGGAAGGGAAGTTTCTCACACAATCCCTGCCTGTGCAGCCCAGCAGCGCTTCCTGCACGAGCTGCAGAAAGACACAGCCCCTGCTACGGGAGATACAAGGACCCACCAACCCTGCTCAAGGACCTTCTCCAGTACCCACAGCTCTGCCAGGGACACTCTTGTCCTCCCGTCTCCAGCAGCAACACTGTTGATGCCAATATGACTCATGGTAGCTGCAGGGAGACAGGACAGCCTCAGTGTCACCAGTTTGGGTGGGTATAGGTCAGTCACTGACCAGCTGCCTTCCACTAATATAAACTTAACCTGAATTGCTTACTGCTAGGAAGCAAAATATCAGACTTAAGGACACAGGCCCAGGCCCAGCACTACACACAGTAGCCCAGCCAGTGGGCTCAGGATCTGTGGTGGTTTTCAACTTCTGCATAAGTGTTGTTGCAAGATGAAGCAGACCTGTGCACTGATAAAACACTGCCAGCAACTCTCCAGTGAGATTACTGTTAGAGGAGCTGATGGGAGATCAGTCCACTCCATACCACGAACTGCACCCTCGTTTGTGGGCAGCCTTCCCTACACCCCTCACATCCCAGGAGCAAGTCACACATTTCCTGAGCTGCTGGAGCACACATGTACACACACAAACTGGAAAAGCACTTAACTGGATGTTGACACTCACCACTGTGACAGTACTTTCACTTGCAAGTTTCAGCCTAACACATGGAAGAGAAAGGGAAATTGCATCTTAAACCCCTGCCCATGCCTTGAAGCCCCCTTTTTGGATAAGCTACCAGAGCACAGCTGGGAGCTGAGGCAGGCTCCTTTCCTCTCAATTGTTTCAGCAACAGGGCAAGTTGGAAATACTCTTCTGACAGGAAAAGTCTGATGCCACTTCAGGGCAGAGAAGTACACATCAGTTCACTTATGAACTCCTAACCTGCCCTGGCTTGTCTCACGAGATTAAATGCTTTTGCTAGTTGGTTCACAGATAATAAAAACCAGTGTCATGGCTGATCAAAAATTATGTCCTAGGTTGGCACAGGGCCCTCTTCTTGTCAGTTCAGTTGCTCTTCCACAGGTGGTTAACCCTGTGTCCACAAATAAACCAGACACTGCCCTGCACCCACAAAACTTGGCTGGCTCCTTACAGGGAAGAGGCAGCAGTGGTGACATTCTTCCCAAGAACATGGCATCCCGCTTAACCACACCAGCAGTTTGAGCTCTCATGTGCTGTCTAGCCTGGAGAGGACAGCTGTTGCCCAAGGCTGCCCAGAACCACACCTCCACACCAACTGGGCAAGGAAGTCCCAATTAGAGGTTTCGTCTGCTGAGGGCAGACTTGGATTTCTGAGCTACCCAGGCATTACCAACCTGAGGGCCACCACAGGACCCTGCAAGGACTGGCTGCAAGTCACCTGGGTGTTAGATATCCAAGTGACCTGTCTGTTTACAAGGAGAGCTACTTACAAGAACACTGAGCAGGAAGAGTCTTAAACACCAGCCCTCTTTGCAACGACAAGTACGAGCTGCCATCACCTCAGCTTTTGTTAATTGGGATTCAACAGTAAGTGCTGTGGGGGTGAAAATCCCCAGGTGAGGTCCCACCTGCAGTGAAGATGGTGAAAAGGAGAGGAATGCATGAGCTGAGAGTCAATGGACACACTCATCAGCTAGAAAAGGTTAACAGTCACAGGGTGAGCCTCTAAGGTCAGAAAGTCCCTATTAACTGCCCAGCAGATGAGAGCAGAAAGATCACTTCATTCTTGTACCCTTCCCATGCTCTTCTCACAATTATCCATGACTCCACTGTCACTGCTGAGTTCCTGGGTGTAACGGACACTTGTTCTAGTGCCAAGTGACTGTCATCACCAAGCTGAGCAAGCTACTGCAAAGCTGTCTTGTTCCCATTATGCCAGGGGAAATGATGGTCCTTGTTGTACTGTGCATCCCACTATTTGACAAGACTATGGCCCTTTGGCAGCTTTTGCACTCTATTGCTGAGGTAGTACCTGGGGTGCTGGGCCGCAGCAAGGCTGCATCTAAGGCTCAGCAAAGAAGATACTCAAGCTGAGCTGGCTCCAACTAATACTTTTCTTTGAAAAAAAACTTTTCTTCCACCAATGCAGCTTCCAAGTCATATCAAAACCTGGCTGCATATAGAAGAGGTGCCAGCCAGCAGGTAAAAAAAAAAAAAGGCACTGAAGCATTCCTGACAGCCATGGGGTGCACTGCTCCATGGGCTGGGTTGAGAAGCAACTGGGAATCCAGAACCCCCTTTAAGATGTGAGGTTCTTCCAAGTCCCCGGTACGTAAATCAGGTCATTAGCATGGGAGCTCAGACCTCAGGAACACAGGTCCAAGGGCCAGCCAGCAGTCTGAAGTCAGCAGTGTAAAGCACAGCTTATCCTCTGAAGGCTCTTCAGTAGCTCACCTGCAAAAGCGTGATGAGCACATGCAGTGGGTGCACCTCCCAGGCAGAAGGACCTCGGCTACAGAATTATGGCCACACTCCTCAGCAGTTCTAGGCAGATCTTGAACTTAATGATCAGGAAGGAGGCACCAGATGTTTCCTTCATTTCAGGGAAGGAGAGAAGTTCTGCCATACTGTACTGCTCCAGAACGATACTGAAACCAGCTTTGTGCCCAAGACACTCCTAAACAGGTAAGAAAAAAACAAGGCAAATCCATCAGCGCTCCTGAAGAAACACAGACATTGTGGTGCTCTGAACAGACATTAAAACTTGCACATGACCAAACGGCCACATGATGGCACCACAGCTTTGGGGAGCGAGGACGATCACTACACTTGAGAGTCAAGACTAAAACCCTCTTAACCAAAAAAACCGTAGTTGCTGCTCTTCCCAGACTGCACCAGTAGAAACCTCCATCATCGGTGTTGTGTAGATGGAATAACAAAACTCACGAAAAGGGAGCTGAGGGAATTTAAGTAATAAAAAGAGTTATAGTCACTCTGAAACAACACAAACCTTTTTTTATAAAATTGTTTCTTCCATGCTTGGATTTAGAAGGAAGAATTAAAAAAAAAAAAAAAAAGCCAAAGGAAAGGTGCTGCAGCAGAAATCTGATGGTTTATCCAACCATGCCATGATTATATATAAACTGAGTACAGAGATTTTGTTGTCTCACAAGCAGGACTGAACATTTAATTCTTAATTAGTCCCCATCAGTTAAAGAAAAGGCCGTAACACATGAAGAATTCCAAAAAGGACCAGCATGTCTTAGGTGTAGTCTGTGCTAAGGATGCAGGTCAAATCCATCTAGTGCTCTAGGCAGAAAAGTTATACAAATTGGCCAGCTGCCTTTAGAGCAGAATATGCAGAAGTATGATTTAATGAAATAAAGGTAAAAGGGAGTAAGTGCAGTTATCTGAAATGCAACTCTCTAGGATCAAACACAGCTGAGACACCAAGAGCATTACCAAGTCAGGAAGGGCACTCAGCAGCAGCTGGAGACTCTCGAGCACATTGCTCATATTCTTGTCCTGCAGGGATTTAAACCCCTGAACTTCCAAACTGAAGATGTTTTCAAGTGGCAACTCCCAAGGCTGGCCAACAACCCGCCTCCTTCCTGAAAAAACAGCACATATAAAAGGATGGGGCCTTCCAATCCAGCTCCGTGGGATTCAAACCATGATCCAGATAAACGGACTCTGTGGAAAGGGAGATGTATTTGTCAATACACAGCTCCAAGAATCTCAAGGTAAGGTGCCTTGCCTTTTCCTTCAAGTCAGTGCTCACGTACACACACTCATACTGTGGGCAGCTTTCAGCCATCAAAAAGTACCCAAGAGAGCAGCATGAAGTGCTTTCTGGTAATGCTTCTTATATTTAACAGGTCTACAGCTCCAACTGTGAGCTTGCCAGGCCTCAAACTTTAGAAATGCTGACAGGACAGCTGGTGGTTGGTGCCAGAGTAAAACAAGGGGGAGATTTCACAGGCACTGTATCATAGAAGACACAGAAAACAGAATCTGTTTAACTCAGTGGGACAGCTTTTAATGGATATCACCAAGGTCTTTGCAGAAGAGACCAAAATGTTTTCCAAGTTATGTTCTACCCAAAAGAGAGGCAAAACATTAAAAAAAACAGTGCCAGGTAGCATTGCTTCTGCTGTTGGTGCCTATAGCATCTAGGGGGAGGGAAGAAGGAAACAAGGTTATCTTCCATTTAGGTACAGCTTGGGTCCCATCCAACAGCTCTGGATCAATGCAAGGGCCACAGAATTTTAGCAAGATCAGTTATGAGAGCTTGTGTCTCCACCAGTTCTCC